CTGGCATTTCTATATTTTACCAACAAAGCCCAACAGCAAGAGATAGAAAGAGAAATTCCATTTAAAGTTACTGGAGACATTATAAAATATTTAGGAATCTACCGGCTGAAATAAGCCCAGGAACTATATGAACACAGTTACAGAACACTTTTCACACAAATAAAGTCAGATCTAAATAACTGGAAAAACATCAGTTGCTCACAGGTAACCCAAGCTAATATAATAAAAATGACAATTCTATCTAAGCTAACTTACTTATTCGGTGCCATACCAATGAAACTTCCAAAAAATTATTTTATAGAGCTAGAAAAAATAATAACAAGATTCATTTGGAATAATAAAAGGTCCAGAATATCGAGGGAACTAATGAAAAGAAATGCAGGAGAAGATGGCCTAGCCTTTCCAGATCTTAAATTGTATTATAAAGCAACAATCATCAAAACTGCTTGGTACTGGCTAAGAAATAGAGTGGTGGATTAGTGGAATAGGTTAGGTATGCAAGACACAGTAGTCAATGACTATAGTAATCTACTGTTTGATAAACCCAAAGACCCCAGCTTCTGGGATAAGAACTCACTATTTGATAAAAATTGTTGGGAAAACTGGAAAAGAGTATGGCAGAAACTAGACATAGACCAAAATAAAGTCAAAATGTGTTCATGATTTAGATATAAAGGCTGATACTTATGTAAGTAAACTGGGAGGGCAAGGAATAGTTTACCTATCAGATTTATGGAGAACAGAAGAATTCATGACCAAACAGGAGATAAAGAACATTATGAAAAGCAAAATGGATAACTTTGATTACATTAAATTGTAAAGTTTTTGCACAAACAAAGCCAATGCAACCAAGATTAGAAGGAAGGTGGAAAATTGGGAAAGAATTTTCACAACCATTATCTCTGATAAGGGCCTCATTTCTCAAATATATAGAGAATTTATAAGTCAAATTTATAAGAATACAAGCCATCCCCCAATTGATAAATGGTCAAAGGATATGAACAGGCAGTTCTCATTTGAAGAAATTAAAGCCATCTACATCATATGAAAAAATGCTCTAAATCACTACTGATTAGAGAAATGCAAATCAAAACAACTCTGAGGTACCACATAACACCTATTAGATTGGCCAGCATGACAAAACAGTTAAATGATAAATGTTGGAGAAGATGCGGGGAAATTGGAAAATGCATTATTGGTGGAGTTGTGAAATGATCCAACCATTTTGGAGAGCAATTTGGAACTATGCCCAAAGGGCTATCAAAATGTGCATACCCTTTGACCCAGCAATAGTACTTCTAGGGCTGTATCCCAAAGAGATCAAACAAATGGGAAAAGGACCCACATGTACACAACTATTTATAACAGCTCTTTTTGTGGTGGCAAATAATTGGAAATTGAGAGGATGCCCATCAGTTGGGGAATGGTTGAACAAGTTGTGGTATATGAATGTAATGGAATACTATTGTGCTATAAGAGATGATGAATAAGCGGACTTCAGAAAAACCTGGAAAGACTTGTACGGACCGATGCTGAGTGAAGTGAGCACAACCAGGAGAACATTGTACACAGTAACAGCCATGTTGTGTGATGACTAAATTTGATGGACTTAGCCCTTCTCAGCAATGCAAGGTTTTAAGACATCTCCAAAAGTCTCATGATGGAAAATGCTATCCACATCTAGAGAAAGAACTGTGGAGTTTGAATGCAGATCGAAGCATACTATTTGCTCTTTTTTTCCTTCTATTTTGTTTTGTTTCCTCTTTCTTGTGGTTCCTCCTATTGGTTCCAATTCCTTATAACATGACTAATGTGAAAATAAAAAAAAATTAAAAAAAAAAAGATCATACAGCTCAACTCTTATCTTACAGATGAGAAAGCTAAATCTCAGAGTGGTGAAATGATTTTCCCAATTACTTGGCCAATAAATAGTAAAACCAGAATGAGAACTAATTTTTTGAGTTTTTCCACTATACTGTTCTACCTGTATAGACAGTGCTTACTTTATATAAATTTGCATTATGCAAATTTGACTTTAAGAATTCTGAAATTCACATTCCAAAAAATCCACCTATGTTAACTGTACAGGGGTGTATGGAGTGTTCAGGGAGGACTAGCACCTCTGATGTAAGGGCTTGCCAAGCCCTTTTCGGGGCCCGTTCATTTAGCTTTAATATGCACCTTTACCCCCCTTTCATCTGTGGCTCCAAGAAGCTGTAGCTTCTCTAGTGGCCACATCCTGGTAAACTGTTTTGGAACACTGGCTAAACCAGGTTTAGGGTAACTGACAGAACTTAAGCCTGTCCGTGAGTTAGGGGAATGTTTGCCCCAGGCATGTGAAGACTTTCCCCAGGGGGATGAGTGGATGAGAACAGTTTGTTCTGATGGCCATGGAGGTGGCTGAAGCTGGTACTGTGGAGTGCTTAGAGCCTGGTCAAACATCAAAGATGTCAAAGTCATCCACTGCATCCTGGGTCATCACCAGTTGTCTTGACTTTCAGTCCTGCCATTGGACTTTTATGACTCAGGAAGAGAGAGTGAGGTTGACAACTTCGTGCGACTGTGCCTCACTTAACATGCAATTCACATGCAAGTCGAGACATCATCTGTGATGTCATTTGTTCTCTTCAAAAATGAAGGACAAACACAGCAACAACAACAATAACAATAACAACAGTACTGTGTTCTCTCTCTGCCCCTGTGCCTTGGCTTGGTATTCCGTGGCCTCTTCTCTCCTTCTCCCCCCCCCCACTAAAAAAAAAAAAAAGACAAGAGCGCTCCATGTAAAAACAGAAGAATGAGTCTGCCACCACTGCTGCCATGGGATTGGGGTCTGGCTTGAGACCTCTGGTGCTGAGAGAGGAGACCTTTGCCCTGTTCTGCCCGTGTGTCCAGCTCCCCATGTGTCTGTCTTCTATCTGTCTGTGCTCAGGTACTGCATGTCTGTACCTGGCCTCCACGTGTCGTCCATTTTCTCCTCTCTGTGTCTGTATCTGTGTCTGATGTCTCTATATCTCTTCCCAATGTGTTCTTCCCCTTGGTTCCAACCAGGCCCCAAGGTGGCTGGCTCCAGACCCTGAATGTTCTTTCTCCTACTCTTGCTTCTCTATCCTCGGCCTTTATATATCCCTGAACCATGTGCTGGCCCCCTCCCTCCACAAGTGGGTGGCCCTCTGCCTTCCCCACATCCACGTGCAAATTCACATTGTGTAAAAATTGCTTTACATAGAGGTCTGTGAAATGGTCCACTTACATAAAGCAAAAACTGTATTAAAAAAAAACCAAAATGAACTAAATTTGGCTTGGTAGAAGGTAGGGCACTCTGGCAGAGTAGAGTAAAGAATAAAGTAATGGAAATAGGAATTGGTTAGCATAGCATATGTGGGGGACATCAAGAAGAAAGACCTGACAGAATCCTGGATATTGGTGGGAAGTAAGTTGGATGAGAGAGAGAGAGAGAGAGAGAGAGAGAGAGAGAGTGAGTGTGTGTGTGTGTGTGTGTGTGTGTGTGTGTGTGTGTGTGTGTGTGTGTGTTTAAGGTAGCAAGCGTTAGGGAGATGTTTTAGTGCAATAATATGACGAAAGTAGTGTTTAGTGTTTGGTTCTACCAAAGCCATACTCTAGTTTCTCGTTGCCGCATGAAGATGCTCCAAGTTTATAATAGCACAGTGCAAGCTTTGGGAAGTTTATAAATAGATAAAAAGACTACAAGTGTGGATCTCTGGATAGGTTGAATATCTTTTCTTCGGGTGTTGGGTGCCAACTTAGCTAAGTTTGGGTGTTCTTCTCACCGAAAGGTTAGCTGTGAAGCAAATGTTTTTGGTCATATTAACTCTTGGAACCACCTACTTTAACACTGTGTGTATTACTGGAACTTGTGTACCCACACTGATGAAATCAACAATCTTTGAACTGTATTGAAGTAAGTTTTGGTAGTCATTTATGGAATCAGTTGGAAAGGAGATTGACCTAGAAGCAGGGGTATCATACTGGAGTCTGTTGGAATATTTGTGTGCACAGTCTGTAATTTGGACACACCATGCTTAGGTTTCTTAAAAAATATAATTGGCTACTCCAAGTAGATGGATATAGGAACTCTGCTTTCCTCCCTATTGTAATTGTTTCACTAGAGACACTTGGTATTTCCCTTCCTCTTTCCCTCTCCCACTCAGTCTGCTGTGGATCCCGGGACCCCCAAACTCAGGCCCTCTTTCTAGTGTCATCTTAGTGTTAACCTGTGGCAGGGTCTTACTCCATAAACACTCCATGAATAGAAATATATAATTCATATATAATGCTTAAATAATGCATATATCTGTTCACTCTTTCTTCCTTTCCCTTTTTTTCCTCTATCCCTCCCCTTTGCTTTTCCCTCCCCTTCTGCCTTTCATTCTTTTTCTCTCCCCCCAAAACAGAAACCCCAAAGAAGTCATTGCAGTAGTATGCATAAGGAAATTTGTGACCTCAAGTAAAGAAATATAGATCACTAACACTAATAATGAAGGATTATATGATTGGCAAAGGAATGTGTGCTGAAAAGCAGCCTCCTTTTTTTTTTTTTTTGGTCCTTGAATTGAATACCATGATATGTGAAAAATAAGATCAACCTCTGTCCTTTGGTCAATTGCTAAATAGCATAAAATTTTCTTTATTTTTTCTAATTATTTTGTGTTTCTTAGTCTACATTTTAATATCATAGGAATTAGAGTGAAAAGGGAACTTGGAAATCACCTGCTTCCACTCCTTCACTTTTCAGAGGAGGCAGATAAAACCCAATAATTGGACAGAAAATGATTTTCTAAAGGTCTCGTCAGGGATTCTAATTCTAATTCTAATTGGTCCTCAAATTCCAAATTAAGGGTCCATGCTATTGAGCCATTTATTCTCAGGAGTTTGACCTCCAATAATGGTATTATAGAAAATAGTATATAAATGTGCATTTTTATTGAATGAAAATTTCAAGATCGGAAGTTAAATCAAGGTTCTTTTTTTAAATACAGAAAAACTTTGTGACAACGAGTGAAATAGATCCATCTAGTCTGGGAGTATCTCTTCCTATTGGTGAGAGGTTATCTGTCAAGGTAGGTTAATTGTTGCCAATGTTCAGCCTTAGTAAGGAATCAAAATTATTAAAGAATGTACTTCTAGTTTAAATTTAAGCAAAAAAAAAATTAAAGCTATTTGACATATATTACTTTTCTTTGGACAAATTTGGGTTTTTAATTGGATTACTAGAAACAGTATAAATTACTTCTGGTCATATAATGTGGAAAACATTTTTCTTTCTTTGACCAGTTTCTTTTCATTTTCTATAACTCTAAAATTAGTCTTTGATTTTCGTATAACCTCTTTGAAGTTATAATGATTGACATCTTTTGTCTTTTTTATACTACAGTTGTTTCTTCATATATCTCCCCCACCATAAAAGCCTTATTGATAACCATGCATGCACGCACCCGTGTGTGTATACACACAATGAGATGTATATGTATATGAAAATGCAAAGGTTCTTTGATCTCCTCTGTGTGGTAAACTCCTGATATGGGAACTTATTCCACTAAGGCATATGACCGCCAGTCTATGATTTAGTCCTAGAGAGTTGCCTGAGGGACAGAGGTCAAGTGACTTGCCTAGTTTCTCATAACTAGTGTCTGAGGTAGGATTTGGATCTAGGTCTTCTACTTATACCATGTTGTCTTTTATATATATGTGTGTGTATACATATGTAGATAATTTTGTAGATGGATATGGGTACGTATGCATAGCTGCTGCCACGTAGTTTATTTAGCAAAACTCCTACTCCTCACTCCCTTCTTTTCTCTTATCCCATCCCTCAAAAATACAATTCTATGTCTTAGAGCCTCTGGTTCATCTCTGGGAACAATATACTGAGAAGACAGAGCCATATGTAGTGGATAGGGAGCTGGAGTCAGTCAGAAAGCATGAGGTTTAAGTTTGCTCTCCATACCTGCTGGCTTTATGACCCTGAGCATGTCATTTAACTTCCCCATTGTCCCAGGCAACTCCTTAAAATGACTATGAATTGCCGAGAAAGTGTCATTTCTTCAGTGGGAATTCCATTTGCCAAAGAAATCACAGATCCTGTCTTATGCCATCTAAATATATAGTTATAGGGATATAGGGGTTTGAAACATATAAAATTAAGAGTCATTTTCTCAGTCAGGAGATATGAGTAGTTTTAAAAGAAGTGCTATTAACTACCAAATAAAAATGCTTCCTATCACTAATATATATTTAGCTTAAGATATACAGAATTTAAGAATTGTTAATTTTCTTTATGACTGAAAAGAGTGGTGCTGAAAGCATACTTATGTGTTTTATATAGGTTGAAGTTTTGGGTGTATTTGGATGCTTACTTTGCATTCTAATTCTTTTAAATTAAACAATAATTAAATACCTGCTAGGTGCAAGAAGGCATTATGCTGGTTTTTGGGGTATACAAAGATAAAAAACTATTGAATCTCACTGGTGGGGGCTAAAACATAAGGGTGTCACTATGTGGAATGTGATAGGGGCAAAGAGAAATTTTGATAAAGCCCCCTTAAAAATTTAAGATGACTTTTCTTTGGGCAAGTGGGCAAGCTAAGGGAAGGCTTGACAGAGGAAGTGGCACCTGAGCTAGATTTTATAGAAAAATGATTTAATTTTAAGAGATATGAAACAGAGGTATGTTTCAAGCATAAAAGACATGCTCTGCAAATAGGAGGAATGAATCCAACAACTAATAATTTAGGTTGGCCAAAATAAAAAGTTTGTGAAGGAGCACTCATTTTAAGTGCCACCTTCTACATGAAACCTTTCCTGATCTCCCACCTGCTAGTGCCTTCCACCTCCAAAATTATTTATCTATTTTGTATGTATTTGTGTGTGTATGTATGCGTGTCTATGTATAAACACATACATATGTGCATATATGTGTATGCATGTGTGTATATATACTACATATATAGTATATCTGTCTCTATATATGTATATGTCTATCTGTGTATACATACACAAACAGACCCAAGTTGTTTTCCCCAATAGAAGAAAAACTCTTTGAATGCAGGAACTTTTTTATTTTTGCATTTGTATCCCTAATTAGTGCCTAGCAAATAGTAGATGCTTAATCTGTGTTTGTTTATTGATCAAGAAGCATGAAATAAGCCAGGAAAGGTAGATTTGTGCTGGATTGTGGAGTGTCTTAAGTGCCAGGCTATGGAATTTAAGTTTTATCCTATAGACAACAAAGCATCTATGAAGGTTTTTGAGCAGAGGAGAGGCAAGTTCAGATTTGTTCATTATGAAGATAATTTTGGCAGTTATGTAGAGGATGGATTGAAAGAGGGGAAACTAGAGTCAGGAAAGCTTATTAGGATCTTCAGTGAAGTTTAGTCAGTAAGGATGAGGAACTGAACTAAATTGGTGTTAGTGAAAAATGGAACAGATGGGAGAAGTATTGTCAAGGTAGAATCAACTGGACTTGAGAGCTAATTAAATGACTGGGATGAGGAGGAGGGAAAAATGAAAGATGACGTTGCAGTTTCAAGTCTAGATGATTGGAATGGTGTCCTCAATAGAAATAGAGAAGTTATGAGGTGGGTTCAGTGAATTCTTGTTGTATTTGAGGTCTTGACAGAACATTGAGTCCAGAAGGAGACATTTATAATGTCATTGGGATTGCTCAAGGGAGAGATCTGGGCTGGACATATTGCTGTAGGAGACCTCTGCATGATGGAAGTGTATTAGATCTCAAATGGAGTTAGTATAGGAAGGCATTGAAGACAGAGCTTTGGGAATCAGGTACATTTAGGGGGCAAGAGGAAGAAGATGCTGAAGTGAGGATTCATAGTCCAAGCATTGATGGGGCTTCATGTCTGCCTGGGCCCCTTCCACCTCTAAAATTCTTTTGCCTCATGGAAGATATTGACAAGGGCAGGTTGAAGAACCTGGCAAGATCAATGTTACAGACACAGAAGAAAATATTTATGGTTGGGGGTGGGGTGGAGACTCAGGGAGGAGGGAAGGGCTGCAAACAGTGTTAGATGGTACAGAAACCATTTAACTATCAAACTGCCAATAAGACAGAGGATTGAAAAAAGCCATTAGGGTTAGCAGTTGAGAGGTCAGTGGACTTGGAGAATTTTCAGTAGGGGGTAGGAATGGAAACCAGGCTGTTTAAGACTCACAGGATGGTAGTTGTTTCTTGTTAGATACCACTTGTGGCACAGATCATCCTAGAAGTGTTCCAGAGTACTGTGCCTGTTTTATCAAACATCAGTATTATTCAGAGGAAGTGCAATACTTGTTATTCAAGAAGACGTATTTGTTTACTAAATATGCTAAATATGAGATATATAGTGAGTAGTATCCAGTTATGTAATTTATTTGCTTTTAATTTGTTTATATTTTTTCAAATTCAGTGTTTTAATAGAAAATGTGGAAAGTAATGTTTAAGGATGTTTCTTAAATAGGAAGTGCATATTATTTGAACAGAACCTTTTCCATTATTTTACCCTGGTTCGTGTTACAAATTTATTCTGACTTGGATTTCATTTTTTGTCATCTTTGCACTGTTTCATTATAAACTTATGTTTATATATATAAGTTTATATAAACTTGATGTTAATATAATGAGAATCCTTTCATAAAGTTGTTCACTTTTTCCATAAAGTTTAAAATTGTGACACTTTTTTTGATGTCTATCTTAAGGAGAGATTGAAACTTGAAAGAAATAAAGAGTACAATCAGTTTCTCAGGGACAAGGAAGAATGGAATGAAAAGTTCAGAGAAGTAGAGAAGAAAAATCCAGAGGTAGGTTTTGCTGAAATAATTTCTTTAGAGAAGAAACTATTTATATTTATCAGCTTTTACTATGCTGTAAAAATGATTGTCCTTTAAAGATTTTTACCAAGTTATTAATATAAATTTTTTGAAGACAAACGACTTACTTAAAAGAAATCTGTCAGACACATCCAAAATTTACAAATTGTCAAAATCTGTAGTGATTCAGCCTGTTGCTTCAGACTGTCCATAAAATGATTTCTTTGAAAGGAAAAAAAAACACATAGCCATATGCTGAAAAATAATTATACCCCACATTTGGAGCAATACTATTAAATGTTTAAAGTAGTTTAAAAAAATAGACTGAATGTTAATGTGGGTGAGGCGTTGGGATAAAACTGCCTCTTGATCTGCTTCAAAGACTCCCCTGGCCATGCCTCCTTCTGCCCGCTGCGAGCGACCTTCCTGAAGCCTGACAGGACACCGCTACCAGTGATGAGGTCACTTGGTAGGGATGACCTTTAATCATGTAATGGTCGACCCTCACGAATTTATTTCTGTGCACTGATACTCGGCTGTACTCATTTTTCTCGGTGGTTAATACATTCCCTCTTTCTTTTGTTTTCCCCATCTTAACTCCTGCTACTGGAGAATAAACTCGGCCTCAGATATGAGGAGACCATAGAAAAAATACGTTTTGAGGTACTCCTTTTACAAACAGAATTCAACCCAAATCAGAAAATATTAAATACCCAATAGAATGCCACTGAAATCCTGCCATTTTGTATTATCATGTCATAAAGGTGACTGCATCCTGCCACTTGGTGTATAAGTTCTAGCATGTCCTACTAATTTGGAAAGGCTTGGAGTACATACCCTACCACAGACTGTCATCTGAGTGTAAGACTGTCTAAATGCAAAGACACTCATCACTAGATTAAACACAGGGTTATGCATTTTTCAGCTATAGCAACTTTAAAAAAATTATCATCTATCTCACTCCCATTTTCCAGCAGTAATACTGCCGTAGATTTGCCTCCCCCTTCTACTCTGCCTTTTAGAATACCTGCTGCATCATGAACAAACTTTGTATCATCTTAAATCTCTTCCTCTCTCCCTCTTTCTGTTTTCTGGCACTTGCTGAGATCTGGCTGTCTCTGGAGGCTGGTGCTTCTCTGGCCACCCTTTTCAGGACGGGCTACACTTCTCAGTACCCTACTTGGGGGTGGGGCATTGGACTCTTCCTTGTTCCCATTGTCACATCTAAACTTTCCCTCTATCACTATCACCTGTAGTTTCTCCTTTGGAGAGGTTCACTGAATCTAAATTTATCACCCGATACAATTCCTGGTGGCTGTTAGTTACTGATCCACTGGAAATTCTCCTACGTTTCTTAATTACTAGTATCTGCCTCACTGTTTGTTTCTTTACTCAGATTCCTGCTTTCATACTGAAGGACTTCAATGTATGTATTCGTGTTCTGTTACATACTCTTAACTTGCCAATTCTTAATGAGCTCCAGTCCAGTGATATATTCCTTCACTTCCTCTAGCTACACACAGGAATGGTTGTAATCTTGATCTTGCCATGACCTACAAATATTCTATTCCCATGTTCATGAATTCATGAACTCTGAAATTCATTTATCTGGTTGTAATATTTTATCATCCCATCTTTTCCTATTCCTGTTACTCCTAACCTTATTCTTTGTCCTCATTGTAGTCTCCAGTGCCTTTATTCCTTAGTACTTTATCAGGCTGCGTTGGCTACACTCTTCTCCCTTCATAATCCCAACCCCTTTATGAGCCAGTTCACTTATACGCTATCATCCACTTTTGAATCACCTCCCCTGTTTCCTCCTGGAAAGGGGACATTACATTTTGAAAATAACCCTGATCCACTATAGAATTTGGTATAGAGCTGGGTTTTTTAACTTGAGGGAGGGGGGTGTGTGTGTGTGTGTACATGTAGATAGATAACTGTATTTCAATATAAGGTTTCTTTAGTGATCCTGTGTATTTTATACATTTAAAAACATGCTAAAGAGGGTCCATAGGAGTCCCCAGACAGCCAAAGGGGATCTATGATGCAGAAAGGGTTAAGACAGAGGTACTTTGGGGATATGAGAAGTGTTACATATTCTGTGTTACTGCACAAGCTTGTCTGTACCTCCATTGGCTGTAGAAGCTCAAAGACCCTGGGTTACACACTTACCTTCAATTTTCCCTATGGCCTCTATTGTCAGTTGTGTGGGATAGGTAGCAGGGTGTCACGGAGGGATTAGAGTGCTAGATCTGGAATCGAGAAGACCTGAATTCAAATCCAGCCTTAGTCATTTACTTCCTGGGTGGCTTGGGCAAGTCACTTAATCTCTGCCTGCCTCAGTTTCTTTATCTGTAAAATGGGGATAATAATAATACTTATCTCTTAGAGTTGTTGTGAGGATCAAATCAGTTAATATTTGTAAACTACTTCGCAAACTTTAAACACTATATAAATGCTAGTTCTTGTTATTTTAAATTACCCCAGACTGCTTTCCCTGATGTGTGTTAATGAGGTTTTGGGGCATTGGGAAGGACATCCCCAAGTGCTGTGTTCCAAGAAAAAAGATTTTATAGCTTATAAGTAGAGTAATTATTGGGTTGGAAGTCAACGAAATATGGCCATATATACTAAAGACACACTTCTTAGCTGTTCTTAAATAGTTTTCAAGGTTTTGTAAGATTGTTTAGAAGATCCTTTTACTTAAAAATATACAGTTTGAACATTGAAAAAATAAGGATAAAAATAATTAGACCTATAATTTAGGGTTTTATAGAGCTGAATTTATTGCAAAGTAATTTTAATTCAAATTAATTTAAATTTTAATTCAAGGCACCTATGTGGCACAATAGTTAGAGCTCAGGTTCTGGAGTCAAGAAGGTCTGAGCCCAAATCCAGCTCAAATACTTAATAGCTTTTTGACCTAGGGCGAGTCACTTAACCTCTGTCTACATCAGTTTCCCTAGCTGTAAAATGGGGATTATAATAGCATCTACCTCCCAGAATTATTGTGAGGATCAAATGAGATATTTGTAAAGTGCTTAGCATAGTGCCTGGCACATAGTAGGTGCTTAATCTTATTCTCTCCCTCCTTCCCTCAAATTATTTTGAAATTAGTTGCCTTAGTTTTGGAAGTACTAAGGCTTCTTTCGGCATTATTATATTATTCTTTTTTATAAGAACTTAATCTGTCCTGTTTGATTATATAGTTGCATTGTTCTTTTTACATATTTGTTTAAATTATTAAACTTCATTTTTTAATTTTCTTTAAAGACTAAGTATATTTCATAAGAATCACTGAGATCAGCAGGTTTTACTCACTTTCAGTAGTCTCTGTCTAAATATAGCCTCGTTTGAAATAAAAAAATATTTAGCAGTTAAGATGTATGACCTTTTGAAATTATGGTTATATTTATATTTAATCTCCTCATCTATCAGTTAGTTAACCATTTTTCTCATATATATGTGTGCATGCACACACATAATTTATTTTGGTTTCTGTAGAAATTCTTTTGGGAGGATTTAATATTTTTAAATATGATATCTTTTCTTACATATTAAAATGCCAGAGTTGTTTTAAATGTAAGTAGAACCAAGAGTTATAGCTGTTGCAATTTAAATTATTACTCTCTTATAGTGAGCATTACTTTTTTTTTAAATTGGACAGCCTGAAAGTGAAGGAAATAAAACCACTATCAGTAAAGTTAAGTCTGATTTACATTCGCAAATACAGCCATCAAACAAAAATCCAGAAGCCCCCCGAAAAGATGTTTCATTGCTTCCAGAGACCTATGAAGAGCTATTAACTCAGAGACGAATGGAGGAGGACAGATATCGAAGGCTGGATGATGAAATTGAGTTAAGGGATGCCAAACCGCATAAAAAATCTAATGAAGCAGACATTTCCGATAGAAAACACCATGAGATTGCCAACAAAGTTGATGTTCCTGGTAGAAGATACCATAGCTTTAAAGAAGATAAAAATTTTGACAAACAATATTATAGACCAAGCTGTGGTCCTGAAAGAAGTGAAGAAGTGGACCCAACGTTTAGATATGAAAGTGATTTTGATAGAAGACCGTTGAGGGTGTTTACAACGGACAGGTATTTAAAATTCCATTTTTATTTTTATGTTTCATTAATTTCTTTAATGTCCATGTTATTATTTTTAGCATTATACTTTTGGTGTAGGGAGAGGCAGCTTTATTTGAATGATAGACTTTTATTTTCTGTTAAATGTCTGTAAACTTTTGTTATATGTATTTATAGCTTTGCCTGCCTGCTTTTAAGTTGCTTATTGAACGTTGTGTTTGACTAGCCTGGCATTAGGAATCTTCTGATCAAAGTACCTGAAAAGCTTCAAATTCTTTGCATGATTTCTCATGTAGATATGCTGGCTCTCTGATTGTCATGTAATGATCTTGGTCTTATTATTAACACATAAAGCTTCATTCTCACTTTGATTTGGCACTAGAAACTGCATATTATGAGGTTGTTTCTTTATTGTAGTCTGATTATTTAATCCCAAAAAGCTCAAGGTGCATTTCTGGCTTATATTGAATCTCTTTTATTTGTTTGTCAAAGGCAATGATAGAACTATTCCAAATTTTTCAGCAGGATAATCCTGTTCGGTCATTGTCCCACAATATTAGTAATAAAGGGATAGGACTGGTCTAGTCATTTCATTAGGATAGCAGACTTTCAGGGGAGGAAATTTTCTCTGCCATCCCTCTCCCAGGTTAGTCCCTTTTCTTCAACTCATGGTTTTTGAGAGTGGCCTAGAACACTGAGAGATTAAATGACTTGAGGAAGGTCACAGCTAGGATGGGGTAGAGGTTGGATTTGAACCCTCTTCTTTTTGGCTTTCTGTTCATTAAACCACACTGTCTTTTGTTATTTTCAATATTATATTAAAAATGCCTATCTCTTCTCTGCTACTTTTGATAAATCTCACATTTATTTCTTATCCAATACTTATTCAGTATTTTAGCTCATGATTTATGTTGTAGCTCAAGTAAGACAACCTAAAAAAGATAGAATATAATTGGGAGCATGGACTATTAGCTACCCAAATCTAAATCTGATTTTTTAGATTGTAGAGAATGTTTGAAATTCTGTTTTATGTTGTATTTGAAGATAACAGTAGAGAGGAGGAAGGCCACCTAACTTATTGAGAGGACACTTAATTGGGGGACTGTACCTATCCTCAGGGCATGCAAACCTTTTCCTATTTGTATGTAACTGCTGCTTTTTGGGGGGTGGGGGAGGTTGGGAGGGTTCTCTAATGAAGTCCATGTCGTTTTTCTTTTTTGTGTGACTGCTAGTCAAAACTGTATTTTGTGTTCAATGTGAGGCTATGTCTAAAGTGTAGCCAGTAAAAGTTTAGCAGTATCAGTGATTCATTAAGGTTATGATCCTTTGTTGTTCAGGATATGGTATACATGGCCTATGAAGCTTGCACTGATAAGCTCTTTGATTCAACTATAAAGTTATAAAGTCTGTTTCTTTTCAGTATATATTAGAAAACAATTTTTTTTACTGGAATTTTGAGCAATATGATGTAATGATTTTTGCTTTAGTTTTGTGTTTTTTTTATTAGAAGCATCATTATATTTTGTTTCCCAAGGTAATTTTGAGAGTATGTCAAAAAACTAAAATAAATTTTCATTTTTATGGACATAATTTGCCTATGTGCTTTGATAGTCTTAATACTAGTCCTAGTTTGTAGTATTCACATAAAATTGGTTACATTTTTATTCATGTTTTGAAATAAATGTTTTGAAGATATCCTTACGTAGTCCCAGCTTCTAACTTCTCATCATAAAAATGAAACGACACACGTGTTGTGTCCTGATTTTGTAGATAAAGAACTCTGTTTTTAGAATGTTTTTAAATTTTATTTTTATTTTCGGTTCCAAATTCTTTCCCTCCCTCCCATCCCCAAACCATTGAGAAGGCAAGAGATACAATACTTGTTATACATATGAAGTCATGCAAAACATATTTCTGAATTAGCCATGATGGAGAAAGATAACTCTTGAGGATAAAACAGTTGTAAATTTATCTAAAGGTTTGGGTCAGAGGCAGTTATAAAACAGATTAGATTTTTACTTCTGGTTTTTAGGTTTGCTCAGATTTGTAAATTGTTTATAGGAAGGAAAAAGGATTTCTCTTTACTCGGAGGGTGAGCATTAGTGTTTACTTGACAGTGCTATTAGCTGAAAGAGTTGAAGGAGAAAGTATTTTGAAGACTCACGGGGTTGTATACAGTCTGGCAGTTTTCAAACCTCAGGAAACTTAAGTAACCTCGTGCAGCTGCTGGCCCTGGGCATTGTATACTCGAGGGAGAATGCTGAGCATCTTGAAGTGCTTACTGAAATTTGGTAGTTAATTTTAAAATTTTTATGTAAGAATTAATAGAATTTGTTTGAGCTTATTCTAATGCAGTGGTTACCAAACTGTCCTCAGATTTTAGAGGGTCGACAAGGTGATGGCAGGGGGCACATCTCCTTGTATGACTTAGTGTAACTAATAAATAAACGTACCCTCTGTAGCCTTTAGAAACAATATTTCTTGCACACACGCATGTATGTTGCTATTTTTCAAATGTGTTTAGATGCTCTTGAAACTACTAAAATACAAATTTATTTAAAAGCATTGTTGAATTTATAGTAGCTTTTTGTTATGTATTTTCTCAACTCAGCAAATTCTAACACTACAACTATCATATAGAGGCCTGCAAATATTTTTGAGGTTAGAAAGTAGTCTTGATGCTTGAAATGATTGGGAACTATTGTTTTCCTTATTGGTTCATTTTCCCCCCTTCTGCAAGCCAGATGGAGAGACAGAATACAAGAGTTTTTAACAGTAATTTTTATTTTCATATTTTCTTTCTCAAATGACTTAGAACCTTTGTTTTTCATAAGTTATAATATAGTAGGCTGTACTATAAATATGATTTCCAGCATTCTCCATATAGGGAAAATTAAAAGAAGGTTGTGAAATGACTTGCCAAAACTTATGAGGCACATATGGTCTAGTTAGGAATAAATAACCAGCTAGTTAAAGCCTGTGCTGTATCTTTTAGTCTATTTATGCTTATGGAATATTTTTACTTTTTGGATAATGATTATAGTCTTTTGGGCTTTTCTGTAAATGAAATGTTTTATTTTTTAAAATTTAAATAAATTTTACTCTGAAATTTATTCTTTAGCTTTAAAATAATCGATGTAAGCTGTCATAACATACTCAACCACTAGACTGAGTTTTAGTCATTGTTGATCAGCAAAAATTTCCTAAAAATTTTAGCATTAAAAAAAAAACCAAGCAAAAATAACCTTAGTTACTCTTATATGCTATAAACCAATTTTGGAACGAACCTTAGAGCTCATCTAATTCGACCCACTCAGGAGGAAACTGAGACCTATAAATAGATGTTGGATGACTTGCCCAGAGTTGGTCACACTCCTTGTCAGTAGCGCAGTCCAGACTAACTGGCTATGTGACTATGTGACCTTGGGCAATTCCATCTAGTAGAATCATGGGATTATGGAGCTGCCCAGTTGGAAGAGACCTCAAGGCATACCTAGTCTAACTGGTAAACTTCATGAATTTCATCTGTAAAATCCATTGAGGGCCTTTTCAATAGAAGGCCCCTCACTATAGCATAGTGAACCAGGGCTGGGCTGAGAGTCGGGAGACATCTGATTTTCTTTCCCAAAACCTTTCAGTTTGAAGACTCTTGTCATGTGCCCTCCTAGGTATTCTTTTTGCTAGGCTAACTTCTTAGTTTTTTCAACTGATTTTTTTTGACATTGCTTTTAGTGTGATTAACATCCTGGTCACCGGAATCTGGTTTTGCTTCTTTGTTAATGTTCCTTGTGGACACAAAAATGACATGGAAGAAAGTACAGTTTCTATACCTGGAATTCCCCATACTAGTGAAATTACAGATCTTAATTCCCTTTCTCTTTCCACCCTAAATATATTATAGCACATAGCATAATGTGATATAGAATATTTGTCTCTTGCCCCTTCCTTTCTCACTTGAGCATTAGAAAAGAAAGGGTATCCTGCCCACCCGATGTACATAGAGATTTTGGTGATGGATTAGATTGATAATGGAGAGATGCTGAACAGGGGAGAGAAGAAGGGTCCACCAGTAGAAGGACAACAAGAAGAGAATTGAAGGCCTCTAAAGGGTTTTTATGTTTTCCTCTTGTACCTGGGAGGTGGTATTAGCTTATAAGTGTAATTTAGGAAATTAGGGAAAAGATATGCATAATGCTCCTTTACTGTATATACTGAAAAATATATAAAGAAAGTTTTGTTAAAAAAAAGAAGACAGGGGCAGCTCGGTGGTGAAGTGGTTAGAGTACCAGCCCTGGAGTCAGGAGGACCTCACTTACTAGCTGTGTGACCCTGGGCAAGTCACTTAACCCCATTGCCTAGCCAAAAAAAGAAAGAGAGAAAGAAAGAAGAAAATAGAAATCTGAGAATGAACAACCAGTAGTCTCACAAATGTATGTAAGCTAAAGCATGGTAGAAGGATCACTATATTTGAAATCAGAAAACTTGGGTTCAAATCCTATCTCTGCCATTTATTGTGTTTGTGACTTTTAACAAGTGACTTTACATTCTTTGAAGACTCATTTTCCGCATTCTTAACCCTGTGGTCAGAGAACTTTTTCCTTTTATTTTATGCTTTTTAAAACGTTATTTTGACTGTCAAGGGGTCCATGACATTAAGAAGGTTAGGAACCTCCAGGGTAGATAATCTTGTAGGTTCCAAGTCTTCCAGCTCTAAATGTGATAGAAGTTCTTCCCTACTAGTCTTGCCTTGGAGGAACATGTGTGGTGGGTGTTTCTCTGTGTAGGAATGTCATTTTTTCCTTCCTCTTGCTTCTCATGGAGCTGTGGAACAGTTAAAACACTACACTAGTTCCTCAGTCGAAAGTCAGAGTAGTCTTTTAATCTCTAGTCTTCCAGTCTTTTGATGACATTTTCCCATTACAGTTAAGTGCAAAAACGCTTCCTCAGTCCTTTTTATTTTGTCCTCAGTCTCTTCCTAGTTCTTCCATTCTTACCCATAGACTTTTCTTCTT